GTACCACCGCCAATGTATGGCTCGGGTGTACTGTGGGGTCTTTGATGTTGAAAGTTCTCCTCCAAGTCCAACCTGGAATGGAGGGGGTTCAGCAAAATAGGAATTCCTAATGCCGAGCGTCATCGGCAGGCTCTCCGACCCGCAGGAAAATTCAAGCTCTGCCAAGGTAAAATTATGCTTAGAGTAGGTTCTGTCTTTCCAGTTTTGATGGCATATGCCCAGGAGGGTAGGCTGAGCGGGGGGGGCTGGCTATGGGGCAGGAGGAAGAAGTGGGGACGGGATGATTTAAGCAGGCTGCTTTGAGGTGGGTAATCGGTGTTCAGTTCCACAGATGCTGTTGATGTAAAACAGTTTTCCCTTGCGGCCATAGACGCTGCTGTGAGAAAGTCATAAATAGTGGAATTTGCGAGCTAAGACCCAGGTGAAGCGCAAAGTTTGTAATTGATTTAAGTTTTGTACTTGCCAACCTTTTTTTTTTTGCAGGAAGTGAGTTTCAAGTTTGCACTAGATGTTGCAATGTTAAAATGTACCCTCTACCTCAACTTCCTCTGGATTTGTTTTGTATCTGATTTAAAGAAATAAAGTTGGCTTTTTTGATAGATGCCCATTAGTCTGTGTTAAATTGCCATACACATGTTTGCATATATATATATATTTAAATATTATATTTATAATGACTGTTTCTATTATTTAACCTATATTTCAAATACATTGTAAACATATATTAAACATATGAAAGGGGGGGGGGGAATTTTTTTTGTCACTTAGTTTACTGCTGAGTGGTGAATGTTTGAAAGTCTCTCGTTCAAATGAATGGGGCTGCGACCGGCTGGCGCATGCCCGAAGCGTATTTCCACATTTTTCTTGTGGGGGGACCTCTCAGCGGGCCAATTTGGATCGTTACAGTAGAGCACATTTTTATGGCCATTTGTTTAGAACGGCGGGATAGGGTCGTGACTCTGACCGTTAATATATTACGTCTAGCGAGACCAGCGAGACCAGAGAGCGAGACCAGAGAGCGAGACCAGAGAGCGAGACCAGAGAGCGAGACCAGAGAGCGAGACCAGAGAGCGAGACCAGAGAGCGAGACCAGAGAGCGAGACCAGAGAGCGAGACCAGAGAGCGAGACCAGAGAGCGAGACCAGAGAGCGAGACCAGAGAGCGAGACCAGAGAGCGAGACCAGAGAGCGAGACCAGAGAGCGAGACCAGAGAGCGAGACCAGAGAGCGAGACCAGAGAGCGAGACCAGAGAGCGAGACCAGAGAGCGAGACCAGAGAGCGAGACCAGAGAGCGAGACCAGAGAGCGAGACCAGAGAGCGAGACCAGAGAGCGAGACCAGAGAGCGAGACCAGAGAGCGAGACCAGAGAGCGAGACCAGAGAGCGAGACCAGAGAGCGAGACCAGAGAGCGAGACCAGAGAGCGAGACCAGAGAGCGAGACCAGAGAGAGACCAGAGAGAGAGACCAGAGCGAGACAAGAGCGAATGTGTTCACTTCAAACTTGTTTCACCATATTTTACTGTGTGTGTGTGTGTGTGTGTGTGTGTGTGTGTGTGTGTGTGTATATACAGAGCCTCTTCAGAGTCCCCCTTGGCAGTGACATCACAGCCAAGATGCAGGAGTTTGTGGAGGAGCAGACCGCCGTCACCATGGTAACGGAATCCAATTAGTTTAGTTTCTTTGACTGACACAGACCAGACCAAGACATAACTGCGGTTACTACAGTTACTATGGTTACAACAGTTACTACGGTTACTACAGTTACTATGGTTACTACAGTTACTACAGTTACTATGGTTACTACAGTTACTACAGTCACTACAGTTACTACAATTACTACGGTTACTGCAGTTACTATGGTTACTGCAGTTTCTACGGTTACTACAGTTACTACAGTTACTATGGTTACAGTTATTACAGTCACTGCAATTACTATGGTTAGTACGGGTACTATTGCTACTGCATTTACTATGGTTACTACAGTTATTTTGGTTACTGCAGTTACTATGGTTACTACAGTTTTTATTGTTTCTACAGTTACTATGGTTACTACAGTTTTTATCGTTTCTACAGTTACTATGGTTACTATGGTTACTACAATTACTAAGGTTACTACAGTCACTGCAGTTTAGGGGTGGGAACCTAATGGTGCGTTCAGACCAAACGCGATTTCTGCGGCCAAATCGCGTCTATCGCGCGGCTTGAGCCGCTTGTGACAAATTGTGGCAGCCGCTGTCACAGAGAAACTTGGCCGCGCGGCCAGGACACTAGAGGGCAGCCGCTGTCACAGAGCGTTGAGAGCGTCTAGGGGCGGGGCTTGTCTCTTTTGCCTGTAGCTTCCCAAAATGGATGTCAGCGAAGGAGTTGCTTTATCTGATAAATAAAGCCAGACACGTCGTCAAAGGGCGAATCGACGACGTGTCTGGATTCATCAGATAGTCCGTAGACGGTTGGAGTTTGGTGAGTTTCACCATTTGCTCCGGGAGCTGCGCTCGGATGAGGGTCGCTTTCAGCGGTACTTTCGTCTCTCCCTGGCCCAGTTTGACGACCTACTGACCCGCATTGGCGCTAGGATCTCCTACCAGGACACCAACTACAGGCACTCTATTCCAGCTGAAGAGCGCCTGTCCATCTGTCTGCGGTTAGTGTTTTTTTACCCCATTCAGAATTCATAACTACTTACAAAGTGTGTCATTTTTCAATCACAATCCACAATGTAATAGCTCAGAAAACAGTATTATGCAACAATATGGTGTCTATGATTACTGTCTATGATGTTTACTGTCTACTAGTTTAACGTATTTTATGCTACACAAGTTTTGTCACGTGATTGTTATGAATGTAATTGTGATAAATATGTTCATATCATTTTGTAATTGCAGGTTTCTTGCCACTGGGGACTCCTACAGGACCATTGCGGGGAGCTTCAGAGCGGGCATATCCACCGTCTCCATGCTCATCCCAGATGTGGTGGCAGCCATCTGGGACTGCCTCGTGGAGGAGTTCATGGCTGTGCCTGGAGCAGAGGAGTGGAGGTCCGATGGAACTTCCCTCTGTGCTGTGGGGCCATTGATGGGAAGCATGTGGCTGTGAAGGCACCCCCCAACTCTGGGTCCATGTTTTTTAATTATAAGGGGCACCATTCCCTTGTGCTCCTGGCTGTAGTGGATGCCCAGTACAGGTTCAGGGTGATTGATGTGGGAGGGTACGGCAGATCCAGCGATGGAGGCATCGTGTCCAACTCTGCCTTTGGTGAGGCTCTGCGCGAGGGCACACTCGACCTGCCTCCTGACCAGTGCATACCTGGAGCTGACCACAGAGGACCCCAGCCCCATGTGTTCGTGGCAGATGAGGCCTTTTCACTGCGCTGCAATTTAATGCGCCCTGCCCATCTCCAGCCATGAGGATGGCTGGAGATGGGCAGGTTCCTGCACCGAGGGGAGCTGCTGCCGGTGAAGAACCACTTCCAGGCGTGCAGCGGATGGCCGCCTGGAAGCCAGCAGTGGACATAAGGAAAGTGTTCATGGCCCACTTCAGTGAGGAGGGAGCACTGCCGTGGCAGCCCACAGAGTAGTCATGTCCACCACAAGACTGACCCACATCTGGCCATAGTCCAAACCCATATTGATTTGCACTATTCTATTCACCTGTATACCTTCTGTTTCTAGGTAATGACTGCCAGACTCCACTGCGACTCCACTCCAACTTCAGGTTAATCATATGCACATTCAAGCTTTTACGTAATTACAAGGTTGTTAAAACAGTAAAAGGTGAAATGAATAAAAAATACTGTCAACTACTGTATCGCTCTTTAAGTGTTTGTTATTCCATCTTCTATAAAACCCAGTCAGCTCTTATAAAAGTAAATGTACAAATATAGAATAGCATTTTCTGTCAATATTATATGAAAGGTAGTAATGGTTGGCTTGAAGTAGAACACATGAGGTTTGAAAAATATTTTCTTTATAAAAAAAGGAACAAACAATGAAAAATAAATGAAATGTACATATAAACAAATGAAAAGGAGCTTGCTTGGAGGAGGTGCGGTGGAAGAGGAAAGGGACACATGTCTGTTTCCTCCCCTGCAAAAGGTGTCACCTTAGGTAAAAAAAACTGTACTGGCCAATGGTTCCAAATTAAGCAGAACGGTGCTGCTTTCATATAAAAGTTGGTACATTTTGAATTTCACAAATTCTTTTGACTCTGGTGCCACCCTTTGCAGGAGAGGAAAGAGAGAGAGCAGGAACTGATGTTCTTCTGAGTAGTCGGGCGGTCCGGCTGCTTTGGTCCGTAGAGTCTCCAGCAGCTCCCGCTCCCACTCTGAAGGCCCACCAAGGAAGAGGGCTCGGAAGAGGCCCACGTCCGTAGAGCCGCCAACAAAGAACACAGGGCAATCACAGTGTTAAAAAGTGGAACATGTATTTCAAAAAAGCAAAATGAAGAGAGCAAATAATATCTGTATTAAAGCCAGAGTGTGTAGACATAGTTAAACACATGTAAAACACTTTTAAGTTGTGTGTGTGTTACAATTAACTTGAACATTGCAGTTATCAATGAAATTACTCACACAAGCACAAATTTCGACAGTTACAAACTAATATCTCTGAAGTGTATTTCGCAATGAAATTTGAAATTGGCTGTAAAAAAAGTAATACTCTATTGTCTGCATTAAACAGGATAGCTGCCATCTTGTGGCAACCATTGCATGTATTTGTTCAGTACTTTTATAGCATAAGGTATTTCAGTAGTATGTTTTTATCAAAGAAAGAGGGAAGATGTGTTGTATCAGACCAAAGCTTCTTTCCACCTGTAGTGCCTTGACATCTTGTCGTTTCTCTGTAAATTTGTCGTCTACACTGATGTAACAGCCCTTGGGTAATTTTGGCATATTATGCAGTAACATTTTGTTTATATGAACAGTCCTGTAATAAGAATAAAAATAAAACAATGATTAAAAAAAGCCACACCTGTAGGTGCAGAAGCAGGGGAAGGTCCAGCCCTCACAGAAGAAGAACCGGCTGAGGAAGCAGCAGCAGCAGCAGGCAGCTCAGGCCAAGATGTCTCACCTTGTGTGGTGGTGGCAGTATCTGCGCCAGAAGAAAACAAGAAATACAATTATTTCATATCATGTGTACATTGCGCTTATGACATTTATATGTACATAATAATGTACATTATTATGTACATTTAAATGATTTGTTCATATAAAAGGGAAAAGTGAAATTTAACACAACACATGATCAAGATCTATCCTGGTTTGAAAATAGCCAATGCCTATTTTCACCTGGCCATGATGTTAAGAAAGCATTAAAAGAAATGCATACACAGAAAGCAATATAAATGTAAAAGTCAGCAAAATGTGGGTAATAGAAAGGAAAGAAATGTATTTTTTCCAACTGTTCGAGGTCTCCGTTTGCTGCATGACACCGACCTTCAGCACCTCATATGTGTCCCTCAGATTCTTCCACCGCTTTTTGCAAACTTCCACTGAATAAACACATCAACTCGTAAGCAGGAAAGTAGTAGTTTTTTTCGCGGGGAAATATTTACTGTGAAAAGTTAAAATAACTTACCCGAGACACCAACCACCTCGCTAACCCTCCTCCAAGCAAGCTCCTTTTTATTTCGGTCCCGGTAGCTGTGGTCCGCAGTGTTATATAGCTCAGAATGAGCACCGACCTGAGCAATTGACGTGTCCTCCATAGCTGTCATCTACCAGTGTTTTTCCGGTAGTGAAATGCGTCACTACGTCACTGGAGGAGAAAGCTCCTGATTGGTCGGCACACGCGAATTCTCCCAAAAAGTTCAACATTGTTCAACTCTAGCGGCGGCCGCGTTGGAGGCACGAATCGCGCGAAACGCGCGTCAAAACGCTTGACATCTCAAAACACGCCGCGCGAATCGCGCGAAACGCTCGAATTCGCGCCGCTCTGGCCGCGCGAATCGCGCCGCGTGATCTCTCGCCGCTCCTTGGCGCGCGTCCCCCATGTTGTGTCAATGTAGACCCGCCGCTTTGGCCGCAGAAATCGCGTTTGGTCTGAACGCACCATAAGTGTGCGTCGGTTGTTTAGGGTGTTATGTATTATTTTGTCACAGTAGTCTGGATAAATGCCTGGCCGTGGTGTAGCGGTTGCGTAATGAGACTTCAGTCCCAACGACGCAGGTTCAAATCCCCGTCGGAAAACTTTTGACTTTTTACTTTTTAGCGAACAATTTTTCTGTTTGGTTAAAAACGAATAAACACTCAACATAAGATTATGTAGTGGCTAATAATAAAACTTGTGAACCCATGCATTTGCATACAATCTCAAGTGCTCACCCCTTATTTGCAAACTTGAGATTGTTAGCACAACAAATGCATACATTCACAAGTTTTATTATTAGCCACTACGTAATCCTATGTTGAGTGTTTATTAGTCTTTAACCAAACAGAAAAAAATTGTTCGTTAAAAATCAAAACAAATATGTAAAGATAATAATACACACACGTGGGCTCGAACTCACGTAACCAAGGCTGCACACATTTGCTTAACCACTACACTACCGTCAGGTACACTGAGATCGCTTCACAGCCTATATATTGTATTGCTAGATCAAGACGTACTGCGTCGGTCAGCCGATGACCTGTTTTCGACGTCTAAGGGAGGTCGGGATTGAACGTCATATCCACGTATATGGGAGGTCATTGTTTTACGTCCAGATGCGCACCTTGCACAGACGTCGTTTGGACGTAAATAAAAGGTCACGACCGACCGACGCGATATTGACGTGATCTGGAGGTTGAGTGGACGTCGGATGTTTAGTGGGTATGACATCAGAGCCATTTTCTGCAACTTAAAACAAACAATGTATTTTTAATTTTTTGTTGAAATGTTGCCTTAGCATGGTTTGTTTGTAGCCGCTAATTTTGAACCAAGTTATTTTTGGGGCAGTGAGATTTCACAGTAGAAACATCAGTGCTGCGTAATTATGCCTTTGTTTTTCAGATTCCGGCAGTTGTGTCTGACTAGAATTACAGAAAGAGTTGGGCTGAAGCAATTTTCTCACTTGAGCTGTAGATTCACAAAAGTCAAGACACTGGGGAATTTCTTGTTGGAGGTCAGACATGTCTTGGCCTAATATTGACTCCTGAAAGTGTAATTGCAAAGGTGAGCCTTTGTTTGAATTGGTTATTATTCTGTTATGAAATGCATTGCATTTTTAACAAGGAGCCATGGTTTTAGTTGATCAAATGCAGTGTGAAATATTCATCAGTAAGATGGTGCCAGGTTTAAAATGATGTGATCAAACGGGTGTTGTTGGATGCAGAGTGCACGCAGCTGTTGCTTTGTTCGCAACGACAAAAATCTGATCTCTCAAGGGGAGTCCAAATGGAAGACGAGTATCCAGAGATCTCGCAGGCTTAAGCACAGAAAGTGAGGGGCACTTGGAAAAGTATATTGAGGGAAAAAAATCTTTTCAGGGAAAGTCATTACTTACTTCGGCACTAGGCCTTCATCAAACATTTCTAACTGGATGAGGCACCCAAGGGTGTCAAGCCTCCACTACACATGCACTGTACAAAACCATGATGCCCCAAGATCCTCTACTGCACGGTGGAAAATTAAATTATTCTGACGGCGCATTCTACCCTTGTGCATCTGGTCGAAGTGTGTGGGACAATTGTGCATGTAATCAGCCATTAGACTAATGGCCATGCTGACATACGTGGTGTAGGGTTTGAACATGTGTGGGGGAGCCAGGTCCCCTGTGAAAACCCTGTCAACGAGCCACTCCTGTTTCACCGCTCAGGTGCTCTGGGCTCTGTGTGCTTCCACGTGTTCCAGAGGTCACACCCATTATCTGCACTGCACCCCTCTCCATCTGCACTTACTATCGGCTTATCCTGTCTTCATTTCCCATTGTAGTGTGCCACTAAATGGATCAAATAATTAAAAACATATACTTATCTGATTCAAATGTATTCAAAATGAGATTATTTTACAAAACTCTTGAATATTCTTGACAATTTAATTTACTCTGGAAACTTGGAAGTATATTTTCTTGCACAAAGATGCTACAACAGTTAGAAGTTGGAGTGTATCATTTAATTGCAGTGCATTTATATTTAAATATTGAGGATATCTGTTAATTCTCATTGATTCATAAATATAGTCATGAATGAATGTAAAACTGCTACAGCCACGATCAGGCACAACTGCACAAACAAACTGACCAAAAATTCTAACAAGGATCATTTGCAGAACACACACCGAACATGTTTTCTGCAGCTCAAATGCTTGAATTAAAAAAGTCTGAGATTGTTTACCTGGCAGCACACTTGCATTTTCATATTGAATCAAACATGCAGTGCTGGAGCCCATTCAAAAGTGCACCGTGGCTTCTCTGAGCAGGACAGTGGAATATTGAACTGAGAGAATGTGCTTTTTTAATGGCGAACCAGCGTAGTGTAGCAGTCTGACTTGATAACATTGTTCTTCACACAAAAGGACTGTGCACGCTCCGGAGTTTGTAATCCAACACAATCATTCTATAGTGATTTGAAGGAGGACTGGAGTGAGATATGTTTATTACAAAATGATGCCATCGTCTTGATTGTATCGGTTCATTCAGCAAAAAGAGTGAGAGTGGGAAGTGAGCGGCCAAGCTTATCACTGATTTTAAATATCATCGAGTGACAAGGCTCGGACCGAATTATGGCGCCTGTGCATTAGTGCGTAAAGTGTCGGAATGAAAAATTAGTAGTTCGTCGGCTGATGGATGACAAAAGCACAAAGCTCTTTAGTTCAGACATAAATAGGTGACACAGGCTGCACATGCCCAATCCATCGAGGCCTGCTGACGGCTTCCAGCAGAGGAAGAGGCGTGTCGCTGTAACTCACAGGCCCGTGGATGTCATTAGAACTAAACCACTTAAAGAATCACTGTGTTGAATGGCACGAGCCCTCAACAAGTCCTCAACGATACAAAATTCAAGATGAAACACTTTAGAACAGTGAAATGTACATTAGAACTACTTTGTGATTGTGTAAGTTTTTGTTTCATGATAAATCCATCATAATCTTTGGTTTCTAGCAATCTGAAACCGCCAGATCTCAGCAGCTAAGCAGTGTGGGACCTGCTGAAAACTGTGAGAGACCTCTGGGAACACCGTGGTGCCTCAGAAACTTCCATGCGTTTGAATTATTGTTGGTGCAAAGATAGAATACCGTGGAAAATGAGTAGCCTCTATTCTGTCAGTCTGCCCCTTGGTAGTGACGTCAACATTAGCTTACCACTACAGTGTACAACATGAATGAACAATTTCATGTAGCGTCTGGGAGAGTCCAAAAAAGCAATGAAGGATAGTCTGCATCCTTTATTTGTGAATAATTTTCAAAACCATCCATCCATTTTCTACCCCTTAATCCATTTCTGGGTCGGGAGGTATTGTTTATTTTTTTTCAAAACCACTTTTAAAAATAATTTTAAATTCACAGCCCCGCCTGATGAGCTCCCCCATATGAGCGATGGCAATGACATCACGTCCACAGCGGTAGGGTCACGGTAGGCAGTATACACAAAACAGCATGTCTCTCTCTCTCTCTCTCATGTCGACATTTTTCAGGTTACTCTTAAATACTAAGATGAAAGGAAGACTGGTTGTGAGTAAAAAAGGGCATTTTAAACATTAACTTGACTCTCCAGCGTCATTGATTAAACTGGCAGCCACAACTGTACACCACGTAGTATTTGGACTATTTGGTGTCAGGAAATAACTGAATACATCCTAACACAAAAGGAAGAATGACCAACATCTCATTAGCTGGTAAAGCCTGAATGGGCTTCATACTGAATAAGTATGTTAGTCTTGTGTGTGCACCCCATTCTCACACACAAACAAATCTGATCTCTAGCTAATTAATATTATGCATAATAAACACAAGTAGTTATGATATACATTACAAAATGCCTTTTTTATTCTGCTTTCCTCTCCACTCTAGACTCACTGGTCAGAATGTGTGCTGCCTTGATTGCCAATGAACAGAACAAAGGATTTTCAACCCTAAAGTGTTGACTGGCGGGAGTGCATCAGGCAGTTCCAGACCACAGTGCAACCTGTAAGTACCGCTGCATGGCTTGAATCAGCTCTTGTTCTCCTTACTTCATAGCTTTAGGAAGTTTAGCTTGGAAATACAAATTCTGTGTGCTCTGGTGTCAAGGGAAGGGGCAGGAGATTGCCATATGTGTCCATTCAAGGATGATGTCTGTGACACTCTCATCCTATGAAAAAAAATAAAAAAACAGCATCATTATTGTTCATAAACCGAGTCAGACCATGAGGCTTCACAAGCGCCCAAAATCCCAGAAGTAAAAAACTACAGAGGTTGCTCGAATAGGAAGATATACATACGTAACTATGGACACTGTACTATATTTGTACAGTAGGAGACCCTCAGACCATTGAAAAATGGACATGTAAACTTGAACAGAACTTATTGTAATGTTCCACAACACATAATAGATTATATTTTTTTACTGATGATCTAAAATGCAATTAGGATGTAAAATCATCCAACTCAAATGTGGCATAGTCTATTAGAAACATGAATAATGAGAATAAAGGCATTAAAGTGCATCTCATCCTTGATAAGCCTCCAGAAGTTTATCAGTCCATGTGTGATTTCAATTAAAAGGAGTTACGTGTGATGCATGGTTAACTGCCTCAGAGGGAACCTGTCACCACAGACCAGGATGGCAGACTGCCCATACGATACAAGTGCACAGGGAGATGGGGGACTGTGCCGCATGAATCGTTGGCCATGGCCCCCGATTTGCTTGCACATGATCTGCGTTATTGCATTAGCACTTCGCCAATCACATAATGAACTCTCCGCCAGGCGAGACAAAGTGCAGACAGACCCCTGCAGCGAGGCAACCAAAAGGAGGAGATGGGGAAAACGTGATCAGAACAAGGATTAACATTGAAGTGAGCTGGCCGCAGAGCCGTCTTTTGCCAGAGCGAGATAGGAAGATTCAGGGAGCTTAACGTTGTCAAATGTTTTCTTCAGCCATGGCCGAGAGTGCTGCCAAACAGATTAGCCTGTTTACTACAGGTTCTCATTTAGGAGATAAATCTTTATATGTTGGATTTGTCATAAGGGAAGGCTGGTGAAGAGGTAGAGCACGTGGCAGCGTCAAAGTCTCTCAACATAGATATGGGAAGATAGAGAGGCTCTGAGTCCAGGCTCTGAGTCCAAACGGAAATAGCTCTTCTTATTATGCTCTGGAGTTGTCTGAATAAATGACAGCTGTAAGCAGATGATGACCAATACGCTTTGCTATATTCCACTATGAGCTGTGGATGGTTGCCGTACATTTAAAAAAACATTTTTTTAAACTTTTATTTAACCAGGAAAAATCCCATTGAGATTAAGAACCCCTTTTTCAAGGGAGTCCTGGCTCCCTTGAAAAAGAGTTACACCTGTACATGAGAGACGCCCTGCTCACACTTTTCTTCTTTATTATCTTAACTGTTACACCAGTGAGCACTTTCTAGAGGGCTGCTTTATTACTGTATATAAAGCAGTGACACAAATGGCTTCAAAGTTGTAGGTCCTGTGCTCAAGTCCTGGGCCTGTTCTCTCTATGTCTGAGTTTCCTCTGGGGGCTCTCCACTGACCCTACCACTATAACCATGTACAGTAGAACTGGTTGGTAATGGTTGGAAAGTCTAGTTAAACAGCAATTACAACTAGGTTTTGGTTCCTGAAATATAATGATAATGTTGTACTACACACACACACATACACTATAGAAACTGAAAGAGCAAAGCAAAGAGCGTGAATCAATCAAATTGTATTTATAAAGCGCTTTTTATACAACCCAATAGACCCACCCCAAACCACATGAAAAGAGTGGGTGCGGGTGTTTCCAGCTGAAGAAACGTCATCCAAGGAGCCATCTGCACCAGGAGCAGAGAGCCGCCTGCAGCCAAAGGGGACGATACAGGACCCAGAGGAGAGAGAAGGAGTGAGCAACTAAATACATGTAACAAAATAAACACATATATATATTTGTAATTAAACCCCTTTTGCCCATTTAGCACATGCCCACTAACTTCCTGACTCATTCATGGAAGGACCAGTTTTGTTTCCCAACGAAAATAACACTTCCATAAATGCTTGTCTCTGTCTAAGAGTGGCTTGATTTTCTTCTAGTTTGTTGTCCTGAGCTTCTTGGGAATGCAATGATCACCCACAGTCACAGCAGATCCCAGACAATCCATGAACTATTGCGTTAGATTAAATTATGGTGTTGCCACAGAGCACATTTTCCTGGATTAAAATGAATAGCAGATGAAACAAGAATAGTGCTCGGGCTGCCACCACTTGTATTCTTTTACACAACACATTCCTCGCACTTTTGTTTTTTTACCACTAATGCCTCTACTGTCTTCTACACTCCCACAGCTTGGCTCCCTTCAGTGTTTCTCAGTCAAACTTGTTAAAAAACATGCCAAGCAATCCTCACCATTTCCAATTAATGATGGCGCTCTTGGCAGTGAAGGAGTAAATGATTACCAAGAGTCTAGTTTAATATCCCTAGATGAAGTGCACTCCAGTTCCCTCTGCTCTCTTCTCAGCTGATTACCACCACAACATATAGACGACCTACTTTTGGACTAATGAGAGGTCAGTGCTGGTAGTATCTGGGGACTGAGCTATCTATGCTGCTGCTCAGTCCT